AGGGCAGCAGGAGGGACAGCAGGAGGGCAGCAGGAGGGCAGCAGGAGGGCAGCAGGAGGGCAGCAGGAGGGCAGCAGGAGGGCAGCAGGAGGGCAGCAGGAGGGCAGCAGGAGGGCAGCAGGAGGGCAGCAGGAGGGCAGCAGGAGGGCAGCAGGAGGGCAGCAGGAGGGCAGCAGGAGGGCAGCAGGAGGGCAGCAGAGGGCAGCAGGAGGGCAGCAGGAGGGCAGCAGGAGGGCAGCAGGAGGGCAGCAGGAGGGCAGCAGGAGGGCAGCAGGAGGGCAGCAGGAGGGCAGCAGGAGGGCAGCAGGAGGGCAGCAGGAGGGCAGCAGGAGGGCAGCAGGAGGGCAGCAGGAGGGCAGCAGGAGGGCAGCAGGAGGGCAGCAGGAGGGCAGCAGGAGGGCAGCAGGAGGGCAGCAGGAGGGCAGCAGGAGGGCAGCAGGAGGGCAGCAGGAGGGCAGCAGGAGGGCAGCAGGAGGGCAGCAGGAGGGCAGCAGGAGGGCAGCAGGAGGGCAGCAGGAGGGCAGGAGGGCAGCAGGAGGGCAGCAGGAGGGCAGCAGGAGGGCAGCAGGAGGGCAGCAGGAGGGCAGCAGGAGGGCAGCAGGAGGGCAGCAGGAGGGCAGCAGGAGGGCAGCAGGAGGACAGCAGAGGGCAGCAGGAGGCAGCAGGAGGGCAGCAGGAGGGCAGCAGGAGGGCAGCAGGAGGGCAGCAGGAGGGCAGCAGGAGGGCAGCAGGAGGGCAGCAGGAGGGCAGCAGGAGGGCAGCAGGAGGGCAGCAGGAGGGCAGCAGGAGGGCAGCAGGAGGGCAGCAGGAGGGCAGCAGGAGGGCAGCAGGAGGGCAGCAGGAGGGCAGCAGGAGGGCAGCAGGAGGGCAGCAGGAGGGCAGCAGGAGGGCAGCAGGAGGGCAGCAGGAGGGCAGCAGGAGGGCAGCAGGAGGGCAGCAGGAGGGCAGCAGGAGGGCAGCAGGAGGGCAGCAGGAGGGCAGCAGGAGGGCAGCAGGAGGGCAGCAGGAGGGCAGCAGGAGGGCAGCAGGAGGGCAGCAGGAGGGCAGCAGGAGGGCAGCAGGAGGGCAGCAGGAGGGCAGCAGGAGGGCAGCAGGAGGGCAGCAGGAGGGCAGCAGGAGGGCAGCAGGAGGGCAGCAGGAGGGCAGCAGGAGGGCAGCAGGAGGGCAGCGGGAGGGCAGCAGGAGGGCAGCAGGAGGGCAGCAGGAGGGCAGCAGGAGGGCAGCAGGAGGGCAGCAGGAGGGCAGCAGGAGGGCAGCAGGAGGGCAGCAGGAGGGCAGCAGGAGGGCAGCAGGAGGGCAGCAGGAGGGCAGCAGGAGGGCAGCAGGAGGGCAGCAGGAGGGCAGCAGGAGGGCAGCAGGAGGGCAGCAGGAGGGCAGCAGGAGGGCAGCAGGAGGCAGCAGGAGGGCAGCAGGAGGGCAGCAGGAGGGCAGCAGGAGGGCAGCAGGAGGGCAGCAGGAGGGCAGCAGGAGGGCAGCAAGAGGGACAGCAGAAGGGCAGCAGAAGGGCAGCAGGAGGGCAGCAGGAGGGCAGCAGGAGGGCAGCAGGAGGGCAGCAGGAGGGCAGCAGGAGGGCAGCAGGAGGGCAGCAGGAGGGCAGCAGGAGGGCAGCAGGAGGGCAGCAGGAGGGCAGCAGGAGGGCAGCAGGAGGGCAGCATGAGGGCAGCAGGAGGGCAGCAGGAGGGCAGCAGGAGGGCAGCAGGAGGGCAGCAGGAGGGCAGCAGGAGGGCAGCAGGAGGGCAGCAGGAGGGCAGCAGGAGGGCAGCAGGAGGGCAGCAGGAGGGCAGCAGGAGGGCAGCATGAGGGCAGCAGGAGGGCAGCAGGAGGGCAGCAGGAGGGCAGCAGGAGGGCAGCAGGAGGGCAGCAGGAGGGCAGCAGGAGGGCAGCAGGAGGGCAGCAGGAGGGCAGCAGGAGGGCAGCAGGAGGGCAGCAGGAGGGCAGCAGGAGGGCAGCAGGAGGGCAGCAGGAGGGCAGCATGAGGGCAGCAGGAGGGCAGCAGGAGGGCAGCAGGAGGGCAGCAGGAGGGCAGCAGGAGGGCAGCAGGAGGGCAGCAGGAGGGCAGCAGGAGGACAGCAGGAGGGCAGCAGGAGGGCAGCAGGAGGGCAGCAGGAGGGCAGCAGGAGGGCAGCATGAGGGCAGCAGGAGGGCAGCAGGAGGGCAGCAGGAGGACAGCAAGGAGGGCAGCAGGAGGGCAGCAGGAGGGCAGCAGGAGGGCAGCAGGAGGGCAGCAGGAGGGCAGCAGGAGGGCAGCAGGAGGGCAGCAGGAGGGCAGCAGGAGGGCAGCAGGAGGGCAGCAGGAGGGCAGCAGGAGGGCAGCAGGAGGGCAGCAGGAGGGCAGCAGGAGGGCAGCAGGAGGGCAGCAGGAGGGCCAGGCAGCAGGAGGCAGCAGGAGGGCAGCAGGAGGCAGCAGGAGGGCAGCAGGAGGCAGCAGGAGGGCAGCAGGAGGGCAGCAGGAGGGCAGCAGGAGGGCAGCAGGAGGGCAGCAGGAGGGCAGCAGGAGGGCAGCAGGAGGGCAGCAGGAAGGCAGCAGGAGGCAGCAGGAGGGCAGCAGGAGGGCAGCAGGAGGGCAGCAGGAGGCAGCAGGAGGGCAGCAGGAGGGCAGCAGGAGGGCAGCAGGAGGCAGCAGGAGGGCAGCAGGAGGGCAGCAGGAGGGCAGCAGGAGGGCAGCAGGAGGGCAGCAGGAGGGCAGCAGGAGGGCAGCAGTAGGGCAGCAGGAGGGCAGCAGGAGGGCAGCAGGAGGACAGCAGGAGGGCAGCAGGAGGGCAGCATGAGGGCAGCAGGAGGGCAGCAGGAGGGCAGCAGGAGGACAGCAGGAGGGCAGCAGGAGGGCAGCAGGAGGGCAGCAGGAGGGCAGCAGGAGGGCAGCATGAGGGCAGCAGGAGGGCAGCAGGAGGGCAGCAGGAGGGCAGCAGGAGGGCAGCAGGAGGGCAGCAGGAGGGCAGCAGGAGGGCAGCAGGAGGGCAGCAGGAGGGCAGCAGGAGGGCAGCAGGAGGACAGCAGGAGGGCAGCAGGAGGGCAGCAGGAGGACAGCAGGAGGGCAGCAGGAGGGCAGCAGGAGGGCAGCAGGAGGGCAGCAGGAGGGCAGCAGGAGGGCAGCAGGAGGGCAGCAGGAGGGCAGCAGGAGGGCAGCAGGAGGGCAGCAGGAGGGCAGCAGGAGGGCAGCAGGAGGGCAGCAGGAGGGCAGCAGGAGGGCAGCAGGAGGGCAGCAGGAGGGCAGCATGAGGGCAGCATGAAGGGCAGCAGGAGGGCAGCAGGAGGGCAGCAGGAGGGCAGCAGGAGGGCAGCAGGAGGGCAGCAGGAGGGCAGCAGGAGGGCAGCAGGAGGGCAGCAGGAGGGCAGCAGGAGGGCAGCAGGAGGGCAGCAGGAGGGCAGCAGGAGGGCAGCAGGAGGGCAGCAGGAGGGCAGCAGGAGGGCAGCAGGAGGGCAGCAGGAGGGCAGCAGGAGGGCAGCAGGAGGGCAGCATGAGGGCAGCAGGAGGGCAGCAGGAGGGCAGCAGGAGGGCAGCAGGAGGGCAGCATGAGGGCAGCAGGAGGGCAGCAGGAGGGCAGCAGGAGGGCAGCAGGAGGGCAGCAGGAGGGCAGCAGGAGGGCAGCAGGAGGGCAGCAGGAGGGCAGCAGGAGGACAGCAGGAGGGCAGCAGGAGGGCAGCAGGAGGGCAGCAGGAGGGCAGCAGGAGGGCAGCATGAGGGCAGCAGGAGGGCAGCAGGAGGGCAGCAGGAGGGCAGCAGGAGGCAGCAGGAGGCAGCAGGAGGGCAGCAGGAGGGCAGCAGGAGGGCAGCAGGAGGGCAGCAGGAGGGCAGCAGGAGGGCAGCAGGAGGGCAGCAGGAGGGCAGCAGGAGGCAGCAGGAGGGCAGAAGGAGGGCAGAAGGAGGACAGCAGGAGGGCAGCAGGAGGGCAGCAGGAGGGCAGCAGGAGGGCAGCAGGAGGGCAGCAGGAGGGCAGCAGGAGGGCAGCAGGAGGGCAGCAGGAGGACAGCAGAAGGGCAGCAGGAGGGCAGCAGGAGGGCAGCAGGAGGGCAGCAGGAGGGCAGCAGGAGGGCAGCAGGAGGGCAGCAGGAGGGCAGCAGGAGGGCAGCAGGAGGACAGCAGGAGGGCAGCAGGAGGGCAGCAGGAGGGCAGCAGGAGGGCAGCAGGAGGGCAGCAGGAGGGCAGCAGGAGGGCAGCAGGAGGGCAGCAGGAGGGCAGCAGGAGGGCAGCAGGAGGGCAGCAGGAGGGCAGCAGGAGGGCAGCAGGAGGGCAGCAGGAGGGCAGCAGGAGGGCAGCAGGAGGGCAGCAGGAGGGCAGCAGGAGGACAGCAGGAGGGCAGCAGGAGGGCAGCAGGAGGGCAGCAGGAGGGCAGCAGGAGGCCAGCATGAGGGCAGCATGAGGGCAGCATGAGGGCAGCAGGAGGGCAGCAGGAGGGCAGCAGGAGGGCAGCAGGAGGGCAGCAGGAGGGCAGCAGGAGGGCAGCAGGAGGGCAGCAGGAGGGCAGCAGGAGGGCAGCAGGAGGGCAGCAGGAGGGCAGCAGGAGGGCAGCAGGAGGGCAGCAGGAGGGCAGCAGGAGGGCAGCAGGAGGGCAGCAGGAAGGCAGCAGGAGGGCAGCAGGAGGGCAGCAGGAGGGCAGCAGTAGGGCAGCAGGAGGGCAGCAGGAGGGCAGCAGGAGGGCAGCAGGAGGGCAGCAGGAGGGCAGCAGGAGGGCAGCAGGAGGGCAGCAGGAGGGCAGCAGGAGGGCAGCAGGAGGGCAGCAGGAGGGCAGCAGGAGGGCAGCAGGAGGGCAGCAGGAGGGCAGCAGGAGGGCAGCAGGAGGGCAGCAGGAGGGCAGCAGGAGGGCAGCAGGAGGGCAGCAGGAGGGCAGCAGGAGGGCAGCAGGAGGGCAGCAGGAGGGCAGCAGGAGGCAGCAGCAGGAGGGCAGCAGGAGGGCAGCAGGAGGGCAGCAGGAGGGCAGCAGGAGGGCAGCAGGAGGACAGCAGGAGGGCAGCAGGCGGGCAGCAGGAGGGCAGCAGGAGGGCAGCAGGCGGCATCGTACGGAAGAGCTGTCCATAGCCGTGGAAGGCCTGCAGCACACTGAGCACCGTGTTCTTGCGGTACTGCCCACACGGGTGCACCTGCCATGCCACCCACACACGCATGCACACACATGGGGTCGATGCCAGCACGGCAATGCAAAGCACGGGATGAAGATATAACATGAAGCATGTGTATCTTGTGCAAATTTGCACAACATGCATGCATGTATGATCAGAGCGAAACACATTGCTGCAGCCTTTTCATTCATGCAGTACACCACATGGTTTCTAAGGATTTGGGACACAGAGTGATCCTTTTCCAAAGTGCCAGAGACATAATAAATTAAAGGCAATGAAAACGGATGTACCCTACAGGGCATGGCCGCGCCCCCTGAGTGTGAGTGAGGCAAGGAGTGGTGAGAGGAGAGGGCGGTTGGCATGGCACTGACTGGCATGGAGCTGGGCTTGCAGACGACCAGCACCGTGTCCGAATCCTGCAGCACCTCCACCGGTGACGCATCCACCGATGGCTCATGCCTGCACCATGCCGCCATGCCCCCATGCCCCCATGCGCCCATGCCCCCATGCCCCCGTGCCCAGCATGAAGGTGGAAACTTGTTTTGATCTCTCAGGGGGTTGCTTGGCATGTGCGGACTTGGCAGCAGCAGGAAACATTGATGGCAGGAGATGGCGAAGAATTGAAGGGGGAAAGTCGATGGGGCAGAGAACGGAGAAGGAGAGTGGCAAGTGGTAGAATGAGAGGGAGTGGCACGATGGCATGCCTGTGCACATAGTGTGTCATGGTCTGAGACTGTCTGACTGCATAGTCCGGTGCCACATTGCGCCCATCCACTTGAATCCGCCCCACCCTCACTGCCTCCTCCTGCTCACCACCCATGCACACACATGCACACACATGCACACACATGCACACACATGCACACACATGCACACACATGCACACACGTGCACACACGTGCACACACGTGCACGCACACGTGCACACATGCGTGTCAGGCATAAACACACAAGCATGCATACGCACAGCCAGCAAAGGGATGGTGTTAGGCGCAAGTGGTAGTAGCATGGCGCAGACAGGAGGGATTTTGCTGTGCCTCAAAGGTTGCCTCAGGAAGGCAGGGGGGGCGGGGTCACATGAGCGCATGCCTGCAGTGTGATGCCCTTGCCATGCTGCAGCCTGCAGCGGCCTCTGCCTGAACTCACATAGTACTGCAGCGGCCTCTGCCTGAACTCGGACGCGAACAGCTCTGCAATGTGCCGCCCGTGCCACCGCTGCTTCACCTGCTTGCCGCCCGCCAGGGAGGCACACGAGAACGGGTGGAGGGACGGGGAGGTGAGGCAGCGAGGCGAGGTGAGCACAGAAATGAGGGAGAAGAGCAGGCAATGGGGGGACGCAGGACAGGCGGGCAAGGGGATGGACGGATGGACGATCTGGACTGTCCTGCTCACGGCATGGCGGCACACTGCATGGCGGCACACTGCATGGCGGCACACTGCATGGCGGCACACTGCATGGCGGCACACTGCATGGCGGCACACTGCATGGCGGCACACTGCATGGCGGCACACTGCATGGCGGCACACTGCATGGCGGCACACTGCATGGCGGCACACTGCATGGCGGCACACTGCATGGCGGCACACTGCATGGCGGCACATGCATGTGGACGGGTGAGGCAGTGGAAGTGCAGTGCGGTGCAGAGTGGTGGCACGAGGCGGCAGGGGGGAGAGGCGCGGAGTGGGGCTCACATGCGCGACGAATTGGAAGAAGTAGGGCTTTACGTACCGCCGCCCTGCACGCACAGCCAAGGGGGGCATGACGGCACCACGGCCATGGGACAGACCGTTCCGAGCGCAAATCAACGGCTATTGATCGAGAAAAAAGGTTGGTATTCTGGGGAGTAAGGGAGAATGTGCAAAACAATGGCATGTGGGAACAATCAAAAACGGCGTCACGCAGGCACGCAAATGGTTCATCAACAGGCCCGCGTTCGCCTTGTGCGCGGTGCGTGAGGGCGGTGCGTGTGCGGCAAGAGAGAGCTGTACCGTCGTGCACGATGTAATCGTCGCGACTCGCCATGGACGACGGGTCCTCCCACTGTATGCCCTCGCGCCACCCGCTCGCCATTGCCGCTCGCGTTGCCCTTGCCTCGCGCGTGCTACGTTTCCCTCACTCCGCGATCAGAGGCGCACGAGTGGAGGCAGGTTTGACTTCTCGATGGAAGAATTAGAGCGGGTTCAACACGCAGCTCAGCCTACTCCATCGCCCGCATTCACTAGTGCTGGACTCAAATTGTCATTCCATTCCCACTAAGTGCTGGAGGTGTCATCGCGCTGATGAAACGCATTGAAACTTGCGGTGCAATAATTTCACCGTGCAGTACCTTGCGGGCTCGTGGGATTGAGGCTGGGTTTTCGATATTGAACATTTTTCTCCACCATGCCTCCACTGCATGAATAAAAAAAATCTACACCATAGGTCCAATTTTCTCTTTGACAACTTCCAGATGAAAGTAATTGCAGTGCATAGGGAGAGGAAAGGGGGGTGGTGGGAGAGGAGGATGGTGGCAGTACGGTATACCCCGCATGCAAATGCTATGATAGGTATTCAACATGAAGGCCCACCTGGGAGGGGCCTACCAAACTATTGGCCAGAGGGTAGCTGGGACGAGCATTGGTAAAGGGGAGTGCGGGCAGTTTTGAGAGCCATCAGGGAGGAAACAGGCAGGTGCTTGGCACTGGAAAAGAAGAGGTTGGATGGCGGCAAGTGGGAGGTAGGCTCAGAGGAACATAAATAGTGAGGCGGAGGTGGACGGCGAGTGATAAGCGGTGAGTCTGCATGGAAGGCAGGCAGCACACTGGCCAAGGTGTGCTGGCATATGCTCTCATCAAAACTTGGGAGGGCGGCTCCATATAAGATTGGTGATGCAGTGCAGAGGAGGCACGTGCTCACAAGCAGTGCACGTCCAGTGCATCACGGGGCGGTGGTGAGCCTCATCAGTGCACGGCAAGCACTGGCAGCACAAGGATACGGGGTGGGGTGTCAGCAGAAGACATGGGAGGAGCGCCCGTGTTTCCTGCGCGGGTGGGGGCTGGCCATGGGTGACTTGAGCAGCCGCCGCCCCAGTGCGTCCACAATCATGCTCTGCTCTGCACCCAGCGGTCCCTCCCCACCGGCGCCCCCTGCGCCCCCCACGTCTGTGGGCCCATTGAGGTCCATGGCAGACAGGTCCAAGTCACCGCTGTCACTGCTGGGTGCACTCCACTGCCGCCCACTGCTGCTGCCACCGTCGGGCCACGGCTCAGCGTCACTGCCCGGGTGGGGGCGGGGCGGGGTGGCGTTGAGGTGATCAAAGTCGCAGAGCAGGTTGTCCACGGTGTGGTCGCCCACCTGCACCAGCGGCACCAACTGCGCCACGTCCACCGCCTCGCCCGCGCCCCCACTGCTGCGCGCCCCGCCTGGCCCCGGCTCCACCAGCTCTGAGAAGTCCACACTCTGCCACCCGCCGCTGCCCTCCATCGCACTCGCAGCTGCAGGCGGCGCCGTGCTGGTGAGCACCATGCTCCTGCTGCCTCGCGGCGCGCGCAGCGTGCTGAGCAGCTGGCGCTCCACCCTGTGTGACGCCGTGGCCAGCGCTGCTGCATAGTCCGACGACACCTCCGGGCTGCCCGCACGCCCACTGCTGCCTGTTGCGCGCCCCGCCGAGTCATGCGGCATGGAGCGACTGCCTGCCGGCAGCAGCTGCCTCCTGCCCCCTGCCCCCGTGCAGTCCGGCGAATGGCGCGGGGGGAGAGCACTGGAGCGCGCACGAGAATCCGAGGACAGGGATGGCAGGGGGGGCATGGAGCGACCGGGGAGCGGAGGGGAGGAGGCAGATGCTATATTGGTGGCATCAGCGCGCCTAGATAGGCGGGCAGGGAGGGTGGCAAAGTTGCCGACAGCAGAGACGTGGTCGCGGTCCAGCATGGCGGAGAAGTCACACTCGTCCAGCACAAACGACACCCCCGCCGCTGCACGCACCGCTCCACCCCCTCCCACTCCGCCCCTTCCCCGCCCTGCATCGCCGCCTACTTGTGTAGTGTCCGTGCCACCACCCCCTCCCCCACCCTGCCACCTGCGCTCCTCTGAGTGAGCAGTAGGTGAGCCAAAGCCCTGTGCTGCATGTGCTTCGCCGCCCCCATCCCTGCGGTCGTGCTCGCCATCATGCGCGCCCCCATCGCTCCCACCCCTCGGGCCCCCCTCGCCCCCCTCCACATCGTCCCCGCCCCTGACCCCACTAGCAGCCAACCATCCCTCCACATACGCTGCCTTGGAAGCACCTCCCCTCCGCTCCTCCTCTTCCTCCTCATCCCCTCTTTCCGTCTCCTCCACCTCCCTGAAGCACACCCGTGCCCGCCGACCCCCACGTGCACGCCCTGCCGAAGCACCTCCGCGAGTCTCCCCCACAGGCAGCGCTTGCTGTGGGCGTGGCGCCACGGGGTGGTCCTCGTTTAGTGCTTGCGCACACATGCTCTCCACCCACGCGTTGCCTGCTCGCCCCCACGCACACGCACATGACGAAAGAGGGAGAGAGAGCGAGAGAGAGAGAGAGAGAGAGAGAGAGAGAGAGAGGGAGAGAGAGAGGGAGAGAGAGAGAGGGAGAGAGAGAGGGGGAGGGGGCGGGAGGGGGAGGGAGAGAGGGAGGGAGAGAGAGCAAAACGGAAAAGCACAACGTGAGTACATGGCAGCAGGCAAAGCCCCCACACATAGGTGACAGCGCATGAAGAGGTGCTTGGCATGGTGTGCGCGCAACGAGCTGCAGGGAGAGAGAGCAGAGAGTAGGGAGAGAGAGCAGAGAGCAGGGAGAGAGAGCAGAGAGCAGGGAGAGAGAGCAGAGAGCAGGGAGAGAGAGCAGAGAGTAGGGAGAGAGAGCGGAGAGCAGGGAGAGAGAGCAGAGCAGGGAGAGAGAGCAGAGAGTAGGGAGAGAGAGCGGAGAGCAGGGAGAGAGAGCAGAGCAGGGAGAGAGAGCAGAGAGCAGAGGTAGGGGAGCGCAGCGTACCGAGGGCTTCGTTGGGAGTGGCTCGCTGGGCGGGGAGGCGGCAGAGCAGGCGCGAGAGGAAGTGGCGGGCAGCGGCGGACATGGGGGGCCATGGAGGCGAGCACACGTCCGCACTGTCCGCTGCATCGCCATGTGCGGTGGCAACACCAGCCTCCGACGAGACGGCGAAGGGCGGCCTCCCCGAGAGCAGGAAGAAGACGAGCGCGCCCACCATCCACATGTCCGACTCGCCCTCGCCCCCGCTGCCCGCACACTCCGGCGCCTCAAATTGGTGCCGCCCAGCCTCACTGATGCGGTCGCGCGCTGCACATGGGCGCGCGCGAGGGAGGTGGGTGGCAGGACACAACGAGGTTGATGCGAGGTGTAGGCAATCCACAGCACGGAGTGCAAGGGCGTGCGTGTCAGCGGAAACAGGAGGAAGCAACGGAATGGGGCGGGGAGGCGGAGAGAGAGCGCGTACCGGCAGTGACGAGGTGCTGGGTGGCGGGGTCGAGCATGGATATGTCGGCCGCCATGCGCGGACCGAACAGCAGCAGGTCCTCGCCCCGCGCGTGCAGGCGCATCACGTTGCGCACGCGGAACTGGTTCACCGCCGCCGTCAGCTGCCGCGCCACTCTGCCCGCCGCCGCCTCGCCGCATGGCGCAGCGCGCTGCAGCACGCCCAGGGCAGCCTGCTGCTCCGCCTCGTCCCCACCATCCATGCGCGCATGCACGCGCGCGCACCACCGCCCGCCCTGCCAGCCCACGGGGAACAACGCCAACGTGCATTAGCGGCGCGGCCACGGGGGCTCGGCAGCTGAGTGAGCAGCATGATACTACGGGCATGAAGCTCATCGTACAGACATTATACAGTCAAGAGAAACGACAAAGACTCGGAGACGTGGCACGAGCGAATTCTGCATGTGGGCTAGCCTCCAGCGGCAAGGGCGCAACGCGATGAATGGAGTCGGAATGACGGCAACGTGGGCCCGTTGCGCAGTGCGTTGCGAAAACACGGCGCAGGTGCGCGCGACAGAGCGGTCACAGTCGTGGTAGACACTTAATGTCATTCCCACACGAGCATCTTCGCAATTGATACCAGCCGCACCAAACACATTTTGACCCAACTCTGTCAACTAGATTCTGGATGCTTGATTGGCTAGCGTGAGCCCGCGACAAAGGCGAGCGGGGCGCGCAGCGACGAGCAACCACAGTCGCGACTGGACAGGCCGTGCAAGCGGGAACCTCGCGGCTAAGAGCGCGTGAGTATAGGCGCGACATGCGAGACACACAAAACGGTACAGCAGTTGTGATTACTCGGGACAGCCGGACATGCTCAGCGACGGCACTTTACGTGCGGGTTAAAGCGGACAGGTTTGGTGCAGCTAAGTAACGGCTGCAGAAATTTCCTTCCACTAAACGGCCGACAGCGAAAGCACGCGACAGCGGGTGATGGGCTGCGGGCAATGCGCTAACAGATGACAGCACGAGGGTGCAGGCCGCCTGGACATGGGCTTGTTGCCCCGAACGGCCACACATGGACTAACGAGAAAATAAAAGCATCTGAAATGGAGAACCTGGTTGGTGCGAGGTAGACGGCGTCGCTGTGGAGAGGGCCGCGAGCAGGGGCGGTAGGCGCGTCACGGCGGACCCGCGAGGCGCGGAGAGTGCGCCCGGACGAGGGTGCCGTTGAGAGCGGGGAGAACGTTGGGAAGGAAGAGAGACTAACCAATGGGTGGAGCTGCGGGGGAGCCCCAGGACAAAAGTGGGTGGGGCGCGAAGAGACTAGACTAGAAGGCTAGGGGCGGGTAGTACCGCGGGCTTCGGAAAGATAATTACTTCCACTGTCACCAGATCTGCAGGCAGGCGAAACGATACGCAACTACGCGACCGTGCGTGGAGATTATCGTTGGGCGCGAGGAACCTTGAGGCCACGTGCCTGACTTGGCCGTCGATGTGGTTGTTGTGTCATGGAATTGTAAGGATCGGAAACGAAAACCCTAAACAAGACGCGCGCAACAATCTCTGGAGGGGAAGGTTGTATGCTCGAGTGGCTGCTGCTCATGGTGCTCTTGTGCAAAAGCAAGTACCGTATTCTCCCGGATAAAACACCCTAGGGTATTATGAAAACCACTGGAAAAAAATGGGGGGGGTCTCCTCAAAGGAAAATCCTATATAATACCCAGGTCTTATGATATGGTAAATTTTTTATAAAACAGAAAAGATGTGAAACAAAATCAGAGGTCTGACTTCACTTCAAGATTGTTGATCAATGCCGCAAAACCGAGTACGAGGATATTGTGGGCCACTTGGGCCACTTGGGCCACTTCACCTCTTGGACCATTTGCAGTGGAAGATTCGCCAGCGTGGCGACAGCGAGATTTTGGGATTCACCAGCGTGGCGACATCGAGATTGTGGGAGGGGGGATATCTCGGTTGATTCTAAGTGAAACTTCATGCGAAATTTCTTCTAAGGAGTGATTTTCGCGATATCCTCCCGTAAGGAATCAGACTCGATAACAGCTATAATAGGAATCTATAAGAAAAGGGGGGTGTTATAGAGAATCACCCCAAAAAGGGGGGTATAGTACTAACGGGGTCGGATATAACACCCACCCCGTATTAGCTACCCAGGGGTGTACAATTACGGGGGGGTGTTTTATCCGGGAGAATACGGTACACTTCATAAATCAATATATTTCCTCCAACACTCCTCCACAACACATTTTCCTTCTTCAACTGCCTACCTAGAAAGCCACAGCAATCAGTGTCAGGTTTCCTGACATGAAGCTGCAATTTGGATTTGAACATTATCAGCTATGATGATGTGGAATGGGTGGAATCGTAGACAGCCTTGTGTCAGAGAGCTTGACGCGGGATAAGAGTGTACCCTTCGCTTACACATACCAATATTCCGCATACATGATGTTAACAGGGTACCACGGTAAGCTTGTGTATGAGATTCATTCCCATGTACACAGCAAGCAGTCAGTCAGCCTACTTCAGGTCGGTAAAACGGAGGTACTTCTTGCCAGAGGGCAGTTCAACAGTCTCATGCCCTGGAAACTTTTTGGATGCCTCGTCCTCAGAAAGCGAGGGAGGAACCACAACCCTGTCACCCTTCTTCCAGTCTGAGGGCGTGGCTATCTGGCGGTCTGCAGCAAGCTGGAGAGCGTCTATTGCTCGCAGCACCTCGTCAAAGTTACGGCCAACAGAACCAGGATAGAGGAAACTCAGCTTCAGCTGCACCAGAAGCAATTGGGCAATAGAAAATAGTGTGAACGAAGGCCAGAACTTTGGGAAATGAACCGGGAGAGAGTATGACACAAAATGAGTCTACCTTCTTGTCCGGGCCGATGATGTGCAGTGCACGCGAGGTGAGCGGCCGACCATTACTATCTTTCAGGTCGGGGTCGAGCATGTTAAGCTTCTGGGCCAGATCACGCGATGGGTCGGCAATGATTGGATACGTGACCTTGGCTCCCGGGGTGTATGCCTCAATGTCCTTGATCCACGCCACATGGTCTTCCACGCTGTCGCATGACAGCCCTGTAACACAAACCGCACAGCGCAAGTGTCTTCCTCACTGTTCCCAACAATGGTACTGAAAGCAACCATGGTGTACAGCAATTCGTTATAAAGTATATGTAGACCATTAGAAACTCACCAATGAGCTTCACTCCACGCTGCTCGAACTCCCCGCTCCGAAGGGCGATCTTGCCCAGCTCCGTGGTGCAGACGGGAGTGAAGTCGCCCGGATGCGAGAACACCACAGCCCAGCTGTCGCCCACGAAATCGTGCAGCTTCATGCGTCCCCCAGTGGAGTCGAACTCAAGATTCGGCACCACCTCGCCAAGCGTAAGGCTAGCCATCGTGCTGCTCTTCCTAGTCCCGCTCAGGTCTTCGCTGCTCTCAGTAAGAGAATAACCCCCTGCCGCCGAAACCGGAACTCGAGAGGAGACCTTCAACGAATGAAAGCCGTGCGATCTTCCCTTCAAACGAGGGCCAAGGACTTGCCAAGGAACGGTAACAAAGCCAGGGGAAGTGTCTGTACGACAAGCAGCCGAAGTTGCAGGAGGGGATACTCGAGCAGCACCAGTTCGCGCAACGAGAGACGTCATGGGCACAGTCAAAGCCCTTGTGCCTGGGTGCTTCAATAACTGGAAAGCGCGCCTGGACTGCATGGCGACGAGATACGGAAAGGAAGACCCAACAAAAAGCGGACTTCATGCTGTACGCGCATCGGTGCTCCATCGGTTCCTCCAACAAGCGGTTCGAGACTAAAAGCGTTCAACACAAGGCCACGTGGGAAGCAGCATGAGCCGAGAACAGCAAGTCTCGAATTTCCCCAGATAAACAGGTGCTGCTTTCTAGTGGCTTTGTATTGTCGAATTTCCCCGTTACATGCGGACGTGCATCAAGTCTGTCAAACGGATAAACAGAACATGACTTACAGCACAATCAATTTTACTTTCTCATATTTTTACCTCTGAGCACCTTTAAGTAGTGCAGCTCCCTTATAGATTTTTAGATGTATTTAATGTTTCAGACCCATCATAAATAGACATTCGGGATTCTTTGTTTATGCGTCAAGCTAATATGTCATAACGATATACTGGTATCTTTATCATGGAAGTGTCCATCCAGCCAAGTATTAAGTCTTGTTGTTAGCACTGTCTGTATTTTGGCACAGTCAGCCTACCACAACAGGTGATCCGTTGTCCATTCACCACCGCACTTGCCTCGCGTTTCCCGTTCGCCTTGTCCCGCCAGCCTTCCCCACGCTCCTTCCCCCAATGGACTCCTTTCCCTCTCCGCCGCTTCTTCCCGCACCGTCACCCCCCCGCGCTACCGTTGCGACCTTGCCTCGCCGCCTCGCTTCGCCCGGGCGCATTGGATGGGAACGAGGGGCGGCGCAATGCAGGGCGGAGAAGGAGGCGAGCGGGGCGGAAAGGGGAGTGGATTCGGGTAACGAGGGCGTGGTAGGAGGTGCGGCCATGCGGTGGCGAGGCGGCCACCAGGACCGCGAACAACCCAATGACTCCGACAGTAACGAAGGTTCGGATCCCGGGCGCAGAAAGCGGCGGGAGCGGCGGACGTTCAGCAAAAGCGCGAGAGAGGAGTGCTGGAAGCAGGCAGCCATGGTGGAAGGGCGCAGCGGTGAGAGGTGTGCTCGGGGGGAGGCGGGGCGGGGAGTGGAGGGCGCGGATGGCATGTGTAAGGGGATGGGTGGTGGTGGTGGTGGTGGTGGTGGTGCGCGGTTTGTGCGGCGCAGCGGACGGCGATGGGGAGGGTGGTCATGGTGCACAGATGGCGCTCACGCTCACATGAATGTGCGGCGTGCCCATGTGTGCGTGGCAGGTGGCGGCGGGACGTGTTGGGCAACGTGGTGTTCCGACCGCTGCTGGGGTGCACGGGGCCGCTGTGCTTCGACTTCGATCACATTGTGCCCTTCGCCAAGGTACCGTGCGTGCGTGCTGCCTGCTCGCATCACACCACATGCATGCACGCGCACGCGCGCCGGGGGTGAAGCGTGGCTGCGGCAACACATGGCATGGGGCAAGCATGTCTCCAACCAGGCGCACCTCACTGCCACTTCCCTTGTCGTTCGCCTCAGGTGGGAGAGCTGTGGGCGGTTAGTGAAACTGCTAGTGGTTTTGGGCTTAGGGCGTGGCTACCCCATGGGCGTGCGTCATGTGCATGCATGGCGCGGATCACAGATCCTTGCCACCAACTCTTTCGCCTGCCTCGTGCTGTGCCTGCTGCGCCTTACCATGTCAACCGCTCCACCTTATGCCCCTCCCCTGCACCCCTCCTCACCCCTGTGCTGCAGGGTGGCACATCTGACGTGCACAACTGCCAGGTGCTCCAGGTGCGCCCCTCCCCCCACGCCCATGCTCCGTCTCCCCATGCTCATGCCATTGCTCTGCGCCACGTGTTCTGCTCTGTGTGCACCCTTCTTTCACCAACCACGACCACCACATCTCCTCCCATCACCACCCTCAGTCAGATCATTTCCCATTCCTTGGCCTCGTCCTCTTCGCTCCCCCTCTCCCTCCTCTGACCGCACTGGACACTGCCAGGTGGCAGCCAATCGTGCCAAGGGCAGTGCAGTGAGTGACAGCTGGAGGCAAGACGCTCAGCCAATGAGCACACGTCAACCATCCGGTGAGGCGAGATCCATGCCACGCCACGTATTGTACCATGGGCTGTGTTCTTTGTGCCTCGGTATTTTCCGCACATGACTTGAACATTCCTGCCCTCGCTCTTACGATTCGGCCTTGCTTCGTCTGTTGCCACTTCCATTGTGTGTGTGTGGCTTCCCGCATGCATCGCGTGGCAATTGGGCACATGTGCATGAGTGCATGACAGCAGGCGAGGACATGGATGTATTGGAGCTAGCAGCATATGGGGACGTGTGGCATGGCACCACGCGCTACGTGCTGCACTCCCCTGCATGTGACCGTCTGCAGCATCCCTCCAGCACCAGACGTGCCTCTGCTGGCACCATGAAGCACAGCAAAGTGGGTGGCAGCAAGGCTGCTGCCAGCAGTGCGAGAGGAAGTGGGTGCACATTGCAGTGACAGCATGTGTGGTCCTTCATGAAGCTCGTTGAAGATATGTCCTGAATCAGTTACCGCACTTCTAACCGACTGTCTGGAACATTTCCAGGTAGGGTGCAGTAGGCCTTTCCACGCCAACAAGGCCCAGCAAGAATCTGCAGAATTCAGACTCTGAGCACAGGAATTGGAGCTTTTCGTTGCTTGCCATCCATTTCAGATTAGCATAGGGCAACCCTGCCTGTGGTGCTCTAAGCACAGTTTTTGAGTATTGAAGGTGCCAATCGCAACAAATATCCCCCAGGATAATCCACAATCCCAGTGGATGCAACAATTGCAGCTGCTACAGCCTTGCTTGGTGCTAGACACTTCTGGTGAAGATTCTGAACCCAAACATATTTACATGCTTAGACACATATATACATTCCTACAGCAAAATCCACTTGGCACCTCAATTCATGTGTGCTGTCAGTGCGCCCCTGGACCTGGACCTTCCCTGCGAGCAGCCATGAGAGCGGCACAGGAGTGCAGCTTGGAGGCGAGGTCATGGAAGCCATGGCAGAGGAAGTAGGTGCGCTGGAAGCCGTCCTTGTAGCTCATGCGCGGCAGCGGGCCCAGGGGGTCCAGCGGGGCGAACGACGGGTACTTGCCGTTGGCGCCTGCTCGCATGTATGCCAGCTCGCCATAGCTGGACAGCAGCCCCGCCCCGAACGCACGCACCTCGCCATGCTCCATCACCGTCCCAAACTCCACCGTGTACCTGCACTCACCCATGTCACACCACACCCAGCCATGCGGTCACCAGAGCAGCCGTGGAAAGATGAGGGCAGAGGAACAAGGGAGGACACTACCGCAATCCAGCAATGAACACGCCTCACACTAGAAAAGCCACAGCCTTCCTCTCCATATCTTCTATTTCTGCTCAACCGCTCTTCCTCTCAACGCCCTTCCCCACGCGGCGCACCAGTAGAGCTTGGTGAGGTGCCAGATGTCCTTGTCGGACGCCCCCAGCGACGCCTGCCCGATGGCGTGCGCCAGCGCGCTGAAGGCGGGGTCCGCCAGCATGGGCACGTGGCCCAGCAGCTCGTGGCACACGTCCGGCTCCGGCGTGTACATGGGCTGTGACGCGTGCCGGATGTACTGCTCCGCGGGCCAAGTAGAATATGGGTTCACGGGGTGGGGGAAGACGGGATGGGGGAGCATGGATGCGGGAGAGATATAGGTCAGCGAGGAGAGCATGGGAAAGAGTTAAGAGATGCTGCAATGGGATATTTTTTATCGCAGAACGAGGCGATGGGCCGGGGGGACACCTGTGTGGAGTGGAAGTACTTGAAGGCGAGCCCGTTGAGGAAGTCGCGCGGGTGCAGCAGCCCCGCCACGGGGCGGATGCGCCAGCCACTGTGCGCGTGCAGCACGGCGGACACGTCTTCCAGCTGCGGGATGGCGTGCGGCGAGAAGGCGAAGAGCGGCAGCGCGCGCAGGAACGTGGAGCAGGCGTGCGTGGGGTAGAGCTCCTGCAGCGCCGTCAGCACCGCGCGCCACACCGCCGTCTCCGCGTCGCTGTACTGCACGCGCGGGATGGGCGTGCCCCTGAGGTCATGGCGGCAGCGCGTGCAAGGCGTGGAGGGAAGCATGTGAGTAAGAGGCTTGAGGCGTGAGTATCGGCGGAAAGAGGGCGGGAGAGGGAGAGCACATGGCGAAGAAGCAACTCACACTTGGTGCAGTTTCGCAATGTCAGCTATGTGTGCGCGGCGCCGCTTGTACTCCTCATCGTGATAGCCCTGCCACGAACGAAAGTTTGGGTCATGTACAGGGACGGCGCAGTGTCTGCGCATGAGAGGCAGTTGAGTCAGCTCGGCTTCACGGAACACGGCGAGCTGCAGCACACGCGCGCGAGTCCCGAGATGGTGAGCGCGTACTCACAGGGTGGTCCGGAGCGAGGTCGGCGCCGAATCCAAGGATGTGGTCGCCGTTGGAGATGTCCTCGATTCCACGTGGCGCGCGCACAACCGGTTCCGAAGCAACTGGGCACATGATAGCCGCACGGGGTACGGTGGTAAAAGAACAGGGAAGCGAAGTTCGAAGTTGTGAGGGCAGTAGCGGGGAGAGGCCACGAGAAACGCGAAATACGGCACAGCGAGAGACGGTGCAGGCATAGCGAGAGCGTCGAAGAGGGCAAGTGCTAGCTCCATCTAGAAGGCGAAGGCATGAAGCCACGCGCCCGCACCTTGCCCAGCACCTCTGCCTACCAACACGGCATGTCTCCCTCTCTCCGCCTACTGTGATGTCACTCCTTACTCGGGTCTTTCCGCGACGAAGGAACAGCCGGGGCCGGCGAAGGCAGCGGCGAAGCTGCAGCATATGTCACAAAGCGCGGGAACGCAACCAAATCTTTCCGACGGACGGCACTGTGCCGCCCGCCGCCCACCGCGGCGGGGCCTAAGGACCGCTTAACGGCTACAAGACTTCCATCTGTACGCGATGAGTCAACAGTCGAAAAGCGTAAAAGTACTGATCGCGCCACGACGGCCATGGCTTCTGGAGCAACTGGAGTCGCAGGAAGTGCGCAGAGCGATGCAATATGATTCGCGAGTTGCAAGGTTGTTCAAGTACCTCGGAATCTTGAAGGGGAGTCCTGCTGCCCTGCCATGCTCGCAACTGCACGCTACCTCACCCTCTCCCCCTCTCCAAGCTCCAATCTACGTCTCCAAGACCGAACCGCTTGGCTTCGGCAATACCAACCGACATACGCTCCCAGGCATCTAGGAGGCGACCCGCTTCCACGTATTTCTACTGGTTTCAGCATAATGTAATTTTCTGTACGTGGCGCATGCCGATTCCACGGCTGCTCCAGCGATGCGACAGAATGGACCCACTCAGACACCTCGGTTGAAAGCATCAGCTTTCAGCCACGTGGATGAGCAAGAATTACAGAGATGGTCATCATAACGCAAGGAGGCAGGGAACCTGGGAATTAGCGGGTCTCGTTCACTATTGTAAGGATTACTGTACTAAGTTCCTAGGACAACGTGTAGAATGTATCTAGCATCTGTCAAGTTGTTCATGTTTTTGGGATGTGACAAGAAACCCTGTTTCATCAAATATGATTCTTTTGCCACACACATCCAACTTGGCTCTTTTCGTGTGGTGGATGCTAGATTGTCCAACATTGCAAATTAAGTCAATTCAAGTTCGCAGACTACACAGTATCGGGGTTAAAAACCTAGACCCAGATGGCTCGCAATCTGGGTGGCTGGTGTCAGCAGTTAATATTAGTGATAGGCTGTAGTGAGGTGCTCTTTACTGAGTAGGGTTTGCTATGGTATTTGTATCACCCACATTCCTAATCTCATCATTCCGTTGCATTGTATTTCCGAGATGATACCACGAGTAGGTTTAGCATCCTTGCCTAGCCTAGCCTAGAGCGCGCCCTCTCGCGCCTCCGCCCCTTACGCGCCCTCCGTCACGCGCCCTAGCGCCCTCCGCGCCTTAGGCGCCCTCCGTCACTCGCCTTAGCGCGCCTCCGCGCCCTCCGTCACTCGCCCTAGCGCGCCTCCGCGCCCTAGCGCCCTCCGCACCTTACGCGCCCTCCGTCACGCGCCCTAGCGCCCTCCGTAACGCGCCCTCCGTAACGCGCCCTCCGTAACGCGCCCTCCGCGCCTCCGCGCCTAGCCCTCCCCTACGCGCCCTCCACGCCCTCCGTATCGCGCCTCTGCCTCAGCCCGTGCGTCCTGCCCTAGCTCATCGCGTAGCCCGTGCGCCCTGCCCCAGCCCGTCGTATAGCTCGTTCGCCCTGGCCTAGCCCGTCGCGTAGCCCGTGCGCCCTACCCCAGCCCGCCACGTCGCCCATGCGCCCTGCCCCACCCCGTCACGTCGTCCGTGTGCACTGCCCCTAGCCTGTGTGCCCCCGTGCGCCCTGCCCCTAGCCTGCGCGTTGCCCTGCCCCTAGGCTGCGCGCCCCCGTAGGTATCAGGCCCCGCAAGTAGCGCGCCCCGCAGGCAGCGCGTCGCGCGGGTACCGCGCCCCGCGGTTGGCGCACCCCGCAGGCAGCGCGCCCCGCGGGTAGCGCGCCCCGCAGGCAGCACACCTTGTAGGCAGCGCGCCCCGCAGCGCTTTACTGCCATAAAATAGATGACTTAATTAAACCCTTAAAGAAAAAAAAAAGAGGAGGGGTTCAGGGTGTTGGGCTGCAACGGTCGTCCGCGTTCCTACTTGCGGGACGACCTGCACTGTTCCCTATACACCGCAGCCGTCAGTACTGCAGCCCCTACTGTCGCACGTACTTTCCATTGTTAGTGGCTCTACTAGCGGCAGCCGACAACCGCACTTTTAGTCTCTAGCTCCAGCCGTTCTCGCTCCAGCCGTTCTAGCTCTAGTCATTTCAGCTCCAGCCGTTATAGCTTCAGTCAATCCTTTTCGCTCCTCGCTCCTAGCTCAGATTGCTCCGTGCTCCAGCCATTCTTCGCATAGTTTCACCTGGCGCTCCTAGTTGTTCTCGCTGTTTCACAGCAGCCGTCTGTAGCTCCTGATGCTCCTAGCCTTTATCATGGCGTCCACTAGGGTTCTCCAGCAACAGGGATAGCAGCAGTGGCAGTTTTAGCAGTGGCACCCGCAGCAGCAGTGGCGCCCTCAACAGCAGCTCCGCCCTCAGCAGCTATGGCGCCCTCAACAGCCGTGGGGGCCTGGTGGTTCGGGTAGCGTTGGCTGCAGCAGCGGCCCAGCCAGCTTGGGGGCTCGTCGCGGTGGCCGCGACATCGGCCCCTGCCAGTACCGGATCATGACCGGCCTTGGTGCTAGCACTACCTGCTGGCGTCCTGACCACTCTGCATACTGCTGCTACAGTCGCCTCGATGACCTCTACCGTGAGCGTTTTGGGCTTGAGTCGGCTCCCCCGATAAGGCACGGTCTGTTTTGTAGTAGTTACCCCGTGTTTGATATGTCTTATGGATGTTGTTTATTCTATCACGTACGGATCTTTTGGCTTACGTGTACCTAGCTTAGGACCTTTGCCTGTTGCTAGTGTCGGTACTTGTGCTTTTAGTGTAGGTGCTTGTGTAGTCACTAGCCCAGCCAGGACGACTGCTGTTGCGTCGCTCTCCTTCACGCTAGACTCCGGCGCGTCTCAGTGCTTCTTCCGCGACCACACCACTGTCACACCTCTTTCAGCTCCAGTCCCAGTTGCCCTGGCTGATCCTACTTCAGGACCAGCAGTTGCTCGCAGCTCGACCACTCTCCCGTGCCCAGCTGTCCCCTCTAGTTTCCTCACAGCTCTCTACATCCCCTCCTTTTTTCGGAACTTGGTGGGTGTTGGATACCTTCACGACCGAGGGATCACAGTCACTTTTTCTGCGCATGGGAGGACTGCAATCTGTACGAACTCTTCCACCGGGGCGGTTCTTGCCACGTTCACCAGAGAACCCCACTCAGGTCTCTTCGTCCTACACAATCCGCCCCCGAAGGTAGTTGCGTCTGGTCAGGTTGCTTCGTCCCCCCCGGTAGCAGATTCTGGTCAGGTTACTGCGTCCCCACCGGTTGCTCTGTCCGGTCAGGTTGCTGTGTCTGGTCAGGTTGTTGTGTCCGGTCTAGTTGCTGCGTCTTGCTCGTGTCGGTCTTTCACCCACCGGACCATCTTGTGGCACCACCGTCTTGGCCACCCGTCGATCCCCCACCTCTGCACCATGGCTAGTCACCGTCTAGTCTCAGGTCTCCCTCGCGTCTTCCCGTCACTCCCTCCCTCGACTGCACCGCCGTGCACTCATTGCATCGCCGGCCGCCTTCATGCCACTCCGCACTCCTCCTCTCTTCCTCCGGCCACTGCTCCCTTCCAGACGCTCCACTTGGATGTCAGGGGCCCTGCACCTACGCAAGGAACAGAGAGGAAGCGTTACTTTTTGGTGGTCGTCGATGAATTTTCCAGGTACACCATGGTGATTCTGCTCGCGAAGAAGTCTGAGGTGACTTCTACGCTGATCCGGTGGCTTCTAGCCACTGAGGGCACTCGTGACCGTCGGGGTGAGTTTTGCTCAGGCATTCTTGCCTGATTCTGCGGCGAACAGGGCATCGTAAAGTCTTGGACGCTGCCGAAGTCCCCACAGCATAATGGGGTTGCTGAGCGCCGCATTCGCTTGGTCGTGGACATCGCCCGCACGTCCATGATTCATTCCCATGCGCCCCATTTTCTGTGGCCCTACGCGGTTCGCTACGCCGCTCACCAGCTGAACCACGAGCCGCGCGTCTCGTGGGCGGAAGCTTCAACGACCAGTCTTTGGACCGGGTCCCCTTGTGTTGGGTCGGCCTTTCGAGTCTAGGGCTGCCTTGCGCAAGTCCGCGACACCTCTACGGACAAGCTCTCGGTACGCCTCGGCCGACTGGTCATCTCTCGGTAAACCCATCTCCTGTGTCTTCCTTGGCTTCCCGGTGGCCTCGGCCGACTGGTCATTTTACCACCAGCCCCTTCACCAGTTCCTAGACTCTCGTGACGTTCAGTTCGACGAGTCCGTGTCCTGGTTCCCTGGTTCCCCCTTCCCCCCTTTTCCTCGCACCCTCTCTTCCCCCTGCTCCCGCTGCTCCGGTACCCCCACCTCCCGCTGGTCCTACCCCGTCAGGTGTGTCTCACGCTACCCCTCAACCCTCGGTCACGCGTCCGGCAGCGTCTCCCTCCCCGCAGTCCTCCTCACAGTCCCCTCAGCGGCCTTGGGTACTTCTGCGTTAGGTTACTGTGGACACGGTTGGTGTTGGAGCTAGAGGTGCAGCCACTAGCGGTACTCGGTCTGGGGGTGCTCGTTTGAGGGGTGCTGGAGTTGGAGGTGCTCGCGCAGGTGGCGCTAGCCCAGGGAGTGCTGGAGCTGGAGGTGCTGGCATTGGAGGTGCTTGTTCTGGGGGTGCTGGAACTGGAGGTGCTGGCACGGGAGGTGCTAGTTCTAGGGGTGCTGGAGCTGGAGGTGCTGGCACGGGAGGTGCTAGTTCTGGGGGTGCACGAATTGGAGGTCTCGGCACTGGGAATGCTAGGACAGGGCAATGTTCGGCTGCCACAGACGATGGAGGGAGGGGATGGGATGGAGCATCAGAACGCCGAGCCTCCTGGTTCGATCTGTTCGAACCAGGAAGAAAACTTCGCTCATACATGAAAATTGTGAAAAAAGTGTCGGACGTCAGCCTAAAACGCGACGCGAACCCCGCGCTAGGCTTGAACCCGCGTCGCGTCCTCCCCCCAATTCCCCCCCATGGCGGAAAAACTCTGCCCTAGTGTTCAGGGCATGGAAAGTGCATTCCTGACGGACGCTTGGCGTCACCAGATTCATGAGGCCACTGAGATCCCTCGCTGGGGCAGGCTGTCTAGGGCGGGAGTAGCTATCTTTGAC